GGATGGCCTCAACCAGACCCTGCAGCGCTGCGGCCGCCCCTGCGGCCGTGTGTCCCTGGACAGCCTCGCCTTCAGCACCAACTTCAGCACGGTGAGGAGGGGCAGGGTGTGGGGGGCGAGGAGCACCCCCTGCAGCCCCTTCCCCAGCCCCCCTCACGCTGGCCCCTTTCTCGCAGATCCCTGGTGTGGAGCGGCAGCTGGAGGCACTGGGTGACGTGTCTGGCTCCAACATAACTGCTGATTTAGAGAAGGTAAGGGGTCCCCCCCTGCACCCAGGTGCAGGGCTGGGTGCTCCTGGTGCTGTGCTGCGAGGTGGTGGCTGGGGAAGAGCCCCGCCAGGAGCTAACTGCTGCTGCGTGGGGGGATGCGCTGGCTGGAGCTCTGCCTCGGCTGGAGCCTGCCTGCTGTCCCCACTGCTCCTGGGCGCTGGCACGGTCAGGGCTGGGTGCTGGGGCGAGCCTGGCTGTCCTGTGCCACCGGGGATGGAGGGGATGTGCTGCTCAGCTCTGGGATGTGAGCTGTACGCTGTGCTCCCCCGGACACAGGTTAACAGCATGCTGGACACGATCCCTGCCAAGGTGCAAGAGCAGTCCCAGGACGTGGTGACAAGTAAGCAGGGCTTTGTGCCCCCGTGTGCTGAATTCTCTGTCTCCCAGGGCTCCATACTCCCTTTTCATCCCAGCCTTGCCTGCAGAGCTTCTGTGCCACCACCCCACTGTCTGCAGCCCTGGCTGTCCCCAGGTCCCCATGTGCTATCATCATGCTGATGCCATCCTTGATCAAAGCCAATCCTTTCCCGTCCTCTCCCAGTCCCTGCTGCCCCAGGGGAGCAGGACCTGGACAGCAGTTCACAGCACCAACCTGTCCCCATCCCCTGCAGAGACCCAGGACCAGCTGGGCCTTATCAGGCAGGAGATCAGGAACTTGCAGGAGCAGTTACTGCTCCTAGATGTGGAGGAGAATGTTGGGGCCTTTGTGGGCAACACCACGTCGGTGCTGGAGGAATACAGGGAGCCAGTTGTCGCCTTGGATGGGCTTAGGTAGGTGAGGGGCTGCTGCATCCCCTGGCTCTCTTATCTACAAAGGCTCAGGCTCTTGATCCTCCGGTTGCTGGAGGTGGGTCTTGCTCAGTGGTGGAGCTGTGGGTGCAGGGTAGCCAGAGCTGTGCCTTACAACCACCTATGCCCCTTCTCTACCAGTGTGCCTGGGAGCTTTCTTTCTCCCTGAGGAGGCAGCTGAGGGATGCTGGGGGCTGCTCAGGGTGCCAGGTCCTGCTGTCTGACTCCTGTCCCTCCTCTTGCCCCAGGTGGATCGTGTGTACCCTCCTGTGCTGCGTGGTGCTGCTGGTGGTCCTCTGCAACCTCCTCGGGCTGCTGCTGGGGCCCCTGGGGCTGAAGGAAGGCGTGCTGCCCACGCAGCGCAGCAGCCTCTCCAATGCCGGCGGGAACTTCTTCATGGCGTGAGGCTCCCTGGGCTGCGGAGGACACATGTGGGAGCAGTGGGATGGGTGGGCAGGGCTGGCCTGGGGATGCTCAAGCTCCTAAATCATCAAGTTACTGCGGCTTAATGGCCTGCCCTATGGAAACTCACTGTGCAGGTGCTAAATGCAAGGGTAAAACATGGTGCTGGTGAAAGGCATTTGAGCAGAGCCCATTTGCCCCTTGCCGGCGAGGGCCTGGCAGTGCGTGTGTGGTCCCACAGCTCAGCGGGTGGGTGGTGGCTTGCAAAGCTGGGGCAAGCTAGGCCAGGGTCTGAGCCCCAGGGTACAGCCTGGCCATGCTCAGGGGGTTGAAGGCAGAGTGGAGATGGGGCTGTGGGAACGGTGGTGCTTCCCGGCATTGCTCGGGGAGGGCAAGGGCTGTGCAGGCTCCGGGCTCTGCGAGCTGGAGGCAATGCTAGCATCAGCGTCAGGGCATGGGGGTGCTGATGGCATCTCTGTCCTGGCAGAGGGGTCGGCTTCAGCTTCATCTTCTCCTGGCTGCTGATGCTGCTGGTGCTAATCACCTTCGTGCTGGGGGGGAACACCTACATGCTCGTCTGCGAGTCGTGGCGCAGCCAGCAGCTCTTTCAGGTGAGCTCCTCATGGGGAGACACCCCTGCCTGGAGCCACTGCTGCCTTTGAGGGCTACTGATGGAGTGGAGGCAGCGCTGGCTGGTTTGGGATGCTCTTCCCAGGTGTCCTGCCTTGCACCATGTCTACTTTCTCTTCTTCCCTTGCTCTCAGCTCCTGGACACCCCTGGCATGATCCCTGGCTTTAACCTGTCGGAGCTGCTGGGCCAGGAGGGTGGCACAGTAAACTTCTCTGAGATATACAGGTGGGTCCCAGCCCTGGCACTGTGTCCTTGGGGAGGGGTACAGCTGCTTGGCACCCTCGGATGCTCCCTGTGATGGGGGCAGCTTGCCCTACCTGTGCTGGCTGCGGTCAGGCACTGATGCCAGGGAAGGAGCGAGGTGTGGGTAAGGGCATGCTCCTGGGAGGGGGTGGCCCTCTCCTGCTCCATTTTTAGCCCCGTGCCCCTCTCCTGAAGGCAATGCCAGCGAGATGCTGCCATCTGGAAAACACTGCACTTGGACCAGAGCATCTCCCTGGATGAGGTCTTGAATATCAGCCAGGTGAGCACAGGGGGTGCCAGCGTCTTGGGGGGCAGAGCTGGGGGTGCATGGCTGGCCTTGGGGGTACAGTGAGAGACCAGCACCATGCCCCATCATGGCTCCCCTTGTTCTGGCAGTACACAGGAGAGATCTCTACAGCCTTCGAGAAGATGAACATCACCCTGAGCCCCATCTCCCTGCTCAGCCAGAGCCAGAGAGACTTGCTGCTGAACGCCAGCCAGGCTGGGCAGCCCCCCGACTTCACCCCCATGCTGGAGCAGGTGGGCTGGGGGCAGCCTTGTGTTGGGATGGGGGATCGTCTGGGTGTGTGTTGAGGGGGTCCACTGCCCCCTCCCCTTTGCTGCTGTGCGACTCCCACTGCAGAGTCCCAGGGTGTCCTCCCCTGCCGTCCTTGTCACCCCTTGGGGCAACCAGGCACCTCCTCCACCCAGGAGGACCTGGTTCCATCCTGCACTGCAGGGATGCTGTACAGCCCCCCCGTGAGCCCTGTTCCCCATTCTCATGGCTCTGTCTCTGCCTCTTCCAGCTGGATCAGAATGTGACCCAGGGAAGCCTCCTGGGTTTGGCCGCAGAGCTGGAGCAGCTGGCAGACAAAGTGGTGAGAGACCGTGTCACCTTGGGGCCTGGCCCCAAAGCCACTGGCTGTGGGGGGGTCCTCTGCAGACCTACCTCGTTGCCAAGGGGAGGCGAGGCCCTTCACCCTCGCCCAGCTCTCTTCTCCAGCCCCGCC